AAATAAATATAGATATTATTATTTAATTAGTATTTATTTTATGATTTTCTTAAAAATAAATTCAATATAATAATTAGTATAACAAATATAATTATGACCAGTGTAACGCCCAGGGTTATATAGATAAACACAATGGGATAGGATTCTAGAAATTTGCCAACAATTAATGATGATAGCAAATAGCCCAGGTTCATCGATATATTGATTATGGCACCCATAGTGGCTGATACAGGTGCTGGTGCTGGTGCTGGTGCTGGTGCTGGTGCTGGTGCTGGTGCTGGTGCTGGTGCTGGTGCTGGTGCTGGTGCTGGTGCTGGTGCTGGTGCTGGTGCTGGTGTAGGTGCAGGTGCAGGTGCAGGTGCAGGTGCAGGTGCAGGTGCAGGTGCAGGTGCAGGTGCAGGTGCAGGTGCAGGTGCAGGTGCAGGTGTAGGTGCTGATACTGGTGTTGTTGGCGCTATAGTTTCGCACAGTGGAAATATTAACGATGAACCGGGACCTATGCCGATGCCAAACAATATACTTGAAGCCCATAGACAGCCTGCACTGGTGGTAGTCCTGCCGGCCAACCATACGATAAGGTCGCCAATTATGAGTAGTCCGAGTGTAGCCAATAGAAACAGATCTACCCGTATATAGTTGACCATTGGTACGGATAGGGCCAGAAATATTGCCTGGGCCACATTGAATACGGTAAACATAAAGGCAGCCGTGTGTTGGTCAACACCTCCCTGTCCACCACTACCGCCGCCGCCCCCATACAAGCGGACAAATGTTGGATAATAAACTGATAAATTGTTGTTTAGAAAATATATTAGACAAACTATACAAACAAATAGCATGTTTAGGACCATGGTCAATTTGTTGGGTGCCAATTCATGGTGCAAACTAGTGGCAATTGTACCCAAATACTGTTTGACCATGCTTATTTTGTTTTTGGATACTAGATTATTATTATTATTATTAGTTACCGTAACAGCAACAACAACATCATCATCAGATACCTGGGTCGTTGGTAATTGATTGGTAACTTGAATGTATGGCTTAACTATGAATAGGATAAGTGTTAATATGCCAAACACGGCACTAGTAGATCCTAATATGATAAATGGTATATGGGTATATAGTTTAGGACTATGGTCTACTTGGTTAGACCAGTCAATATTGGACAAATATGGTTGACTAATCAATGGTGCACATATGCCTGAAACGGTTATCGCTAGATTCAATAGCTGTACGTATGGGGCACTGTTAGCCTCCCAGATATCCATTAGCCATACATAGGCCAACGTTAGCTGACCCATACCTGCTGTCATATAGACCACATAGTCAATAGTAAATGCCGTCTGCGATGGTAGACTGGCTACCAGTGCTATAACAACGCCCCTTACTATCAATAGTAGACCGAAAATCAGATGTTTGTTTAACTTTTCAGTCGCTAGTATTACTATTTTTTTTATTAAAATAAAAATCAATAATTTTTAAAATATTGTTTGTATTTATTAAAAAAAAAATTACTTACATATAAAACTGATTATACAAACACTACTAGCAATGGACATACTATCGGAAATACCCGATATGTCGGTACCATAAATGTGGGCCAAATCGCTGAGCACTACGGGTAGTATGCCGTCCGCTATTTGCTATTATGTTAATTAATTAATTGATTGAGTAATTAATTAATGTTATCAACTATAATATAAATAATAATACTAATAATAAATAATTATATATAAATGATATTGATAAAAATATTTAATATATATATATATATAAATTATATATATTTTTGTTAATGTAAATATATAATAATAATAATTTTTAAATAAAAAATTTAATACATACAACTATAAACATACCAATGCATATGATTGCTGTTAAAATATATTTATATATTGTTATTATTATTAATAAATTTTTTGGTATTTCAGTCATATTTAACTATAATTTTATAATTTTTGTTTGTTTGATATTATTTGAAAATAAAAATTAATTATCGCAAATAATCATTTAGTAAGAGTCTAGTATATTATTATTATTTTTTTTTGTTGAAATAATAATAAAATTTTACAATGATTAATCAATATTATAAATTATAAGTATTAGTGTATTTTTTATATTAATAGTAATAATAAGTAATATTATTATGTTTTTATAAAAAAATTTTTTTTTATTATACTTTTAATTTAATAGATTTAATAACAATTTATGTTTACATAATTATATAAATATTAATAAAAATATAAATTTTTGAAAAATTTTATATTTAATTAATTAAATTATTTTTTTTAAAAAAACTTACAATTATTGCTATTAAATTATATGTTTATTATTATTATAATTAAATTTTATTTTATTATAAATTTTATTAAAAAGTAATAATAATATTCAAAAAAATAAATAAATATTTAATCAGTTTATTTAAAACTTTTGATTTATTTTGATAAAATATAATAATAATAGTCAACTTATGTTATAATTTTTTTAAAGCATTTAATTAACATTCAAGCAAATTATTTTCATTAATTATTATAAATATTTATATTAATAAAAAATTATTATAAATAAAAATAAATAAACTATATATATATATATATATATTAGTTAATTATTATTTATTTAAAAAAAATCAATAAAGTTAAATAATTCAAATAATTTTTTATTAATTTTTATTTATTTATTCAAAACATTTATCTCACAATTAATAATAAAAATAATAATAAAAATAATAATAAAAAATACATTAAATACATTAATTTTAATATTATAATTATTATTATAATTTATTATTTAAACTGTAATAACAAAACAAATTAAACTATTATTTTTTAATAAGTCGTAACATTTTTCTGACAAACACCCGTTTTATCGGGTATTTCTGGCTTATCGTAGACACATGTATAGCCCGGACAGCATACGTGCGGGTCGATTGTATGGCCGCCACAGTAGCCGCCCTCAACACGGCATACCTTAGTGCATAAGCCACGGGCTTCCGGATGTATGGGTTTTTCGTAGACACACTCTAACTGTTCGCCAGCGCAGCACCGATACTGTCGGACACCACCGCACTCGCCATTTAAGTGATGACAGTCATCATCGGTCTGGTCTACCTGTACAGCCTGACTACCAGTGCCTACAAATTAAAAAAAATTAATTAAATTAATTGTTAATTAAATTAAATTAATTGTTAATTAAATTAAATTAATTGTTAATTAAATTAAATTAATTGTTAATTAAATTAAATTAATTGTTAATTAAATTAAATTAATTGTTAATTAAATTAAATTAATTGTTAATTAAATTAAATTAATTGTTAATTAAATTAAATTAATTGTTAATTTATTTACTTAATGCACAAATTGTTAAAAACAATGCTATAATAGCCAACATATTTTTTTAATATATTAATATTATTATAATTATTAATTTTTAAATGTTTTATATATATATATAGAGTATTGATGTGTAGACTAATGTATTTCTTAAAAACTTTGCAAATAAACTAAACTTTTACTAAAAAAGTATAAAACTAATGATTATTATTAAGTATTATATATTTATATATAAATCTGTAAATCAATTAATAGTTATTATAGTTTTGAATTAATAATCATTGTTTAGGTTTCGCAATTGTATTGTACAAACATGTGTATACACTATATGTTATCTCAATTTAATTAATTAATTAAATATCTCATACAATATAATATAAGTAATAGTATATTATTTTTGAAATAATAATAATAATTATAATTGTATTTTTTTAAATCCTGTTTTTTATAATTGTTATCAATATTTTTTATATAAAATAGTGATAAATAATGAATAATCAAAAGTATATAAACTTTTTATTTTTTCCCCAATAAATGATAAGTAATATTGTATTTATTGATATAATAATAATAATAAGTAATAATATTATTTTGTTAATAAAAAATAACATTTTAGTCATTATATAGTTAAATATATTTAATATAAGAAAACAAAAATTAAAAATAATTGCAAATAAAATAATAATTAAAAAATTTTAATATTAAATAATTTCAATTATTTGTTTTTTTTATATATATTTATTTTGATAAATAAGTTAATATACATAATAATAATATTAATAAAAATTATGCTCATAATAGACAATAAAATTATTATTAATTATACAAAACACGATTAAGTAATTGAATAATATTTATAAATAAAATTATTAAGAAAAAAACACTTTAAAAATTATTATGAATTAAATATATTGTAAAAGTGTATACAATTAAACAAACATTGTTTACTTTTAGAAAATTATTATTATTTTTGTTTTTTTTAAAATAAAAATATTATTAATAAATTATTTGTGAAAATATTAAATTGTATTATCAAATGCTTTGTAATTAAATTTATTGTAATTATTTTATAATAATAATAATTATAATATAAGTATAATATTGTAGAAAAACATTAAACACAAGTATATTATTAATATATATTTCAATCAATCAATTAATAATAATATTTTTTTAAATAAGACTAATAAAAAATAAATGTTATTTAAATATTTTATAAATAAATTAAAAGAGAGAGAGAGAGAGAGAGAGAGAGAGAGAGATTCATAATAATTCAAACAAACAAAAATATTAACAATAATTATATAATATTTTTTAATATATATATAGAAATATTATAACAATATATTCATATTAATAGTTAGAAAAAATTGTGTGATTGATAACTGTATATATATATTGTATATATTAATACAAAAAAAAATATTGTGTATATATTTTGTATATAAACTTATATAATAATAATAATAATAATAGATATCATTCATAGTTTTATATTATTATTATTATATAAATTTAATATAAATGTGTTTTTAATCAGTTTATAGTTATCATATTGAAAGTTAACATTTAAAAAATATAAGTAAATTATTATATATATTCAATATATATACTGTATATTATATACGTGAAAATATATACAATAAAAATTAGGGGAAAAAATTATTATTATTATTATTATTATTATTAGATTTTTTGTGCACAAAAAAATATACGTAAAATATCGTAACAATCAATAATACAGAGTAATAATCGCACAATTAATTTGGATTATTATTATTCAATGGAAATCCTATATCCAGGGACTGGTAGTTGTTAATGGGTATCATTACCGCCACTTCCTCATCATCATCATTATCATCATCGGTCGGCATCTGCTGTTTTATCATACGATCATCACTATCACCCGTACCCGACAATTGCTGACCACCACCACCACCAACACCTACCGTGTGAGCAAAGGTTACTACATTAAACTTGTCGGCAATTACGGTGACGGCAGCGGCACCGGTAGTAATGGTGTTGTTGTTGTTGTTGGTGGTTATGGTGTTGTTGGGTGTCATCACCACTAACGGATCAAATGTACCTTTTTGTTCCTCCAGGGCATGATGTACGGCATCGTGTATTGTTATATAGACATGATATGGTTTAACTTCATCGTAGAAGCCATCCTTTTCCAACATTTTCACTACATGTGCGGCACAGTTAGCCAGAAATGTTTTCACACCAATCGATTCGTATTCCTGGACAGTTGTTTTCAATGTGGTAACACCAGTCGTATCGATATAGGAAAACATTGAACAATCAATGATAAGATGAGTTGGTAGATCGTCAGCAGTGGCCACTATATCGAGGGACAGTTGTGTAGTAGGTGTGTCCCTTGAAAATGTACGCATACGTTGAAATTTTCCGCCGCAAATCATTGCCGCCGATTTCGATGTAGTCTCAGTTTCTGCCGCCTCCTGTTCCTCGTCCTTCAGCCGTCGGTTGTGTGCCTTTTGTAGTTTACGGCGCCGTTCGATAACATGACTGTCCCCACCCGACAAACAAATATTAATATAATTATTAAAATATAATCAACAAAAATAATAATAATAATTAATTATTGAAAAATTCATTAGTATTAGTAGTTTTGTTACAATAGCTATAATCACTACTTTATTACAACTACTACTACTACTACTACTATAACTACAACAACAACAACAACAACAACAACAACAACAACTACTACTACTACTACTACTATAATTACTACTACTACTACTACTATAACTACAACAACTACTACTGCTACTACTATAACAACAACAACAACAACTACTACTACTACTACTACTACTACTACTACTACTACTACTACTACTACTACTACAACTACTACAACTACTACAACTACTACTACTATTACTATTACTACTACTACCACCTACAACTACTATGGGTACACATACTTGACGTATATCTTTGTCCTGTACTGTAGTCCCCGTTTAAAGTACTCAACATTGGCAAAGTGCAGGGGTCCGCAAAACTGGTAGATCTTAATGCCGGTCAACTCGTGAGCCGATCCATACTTTTTGAGCGGTACGTAAACATCGGACTTATCAATTGATCCCAATAAGTAGGTCTTTGGCCTATTTTTTTAATTAAAAAAATTTGTTGTTAATTATTTTTTTGTGGATTCATTTGAAAATACTTATTATAGTGTGTATATGTGTGTGTGTATATGTGTGTGTGTATATGTGTGTGTGTATATGTGTGTGTGTATGTGTGTTAGAGATGGGCAAATAGAAAGTTTCTAATAAATTTCCCTGAGAAAGTTTCTAGAAAGTTTCTCATGAATAAATTTCTATAGAAATTTAACTTTTTTGTTATACTATGGGATCCCCATATCTATAGATATTGTAAAACATATATTAATGAGACACTACTATATATAATATTATACTATATAATGTAGATACTACTATTATACAGTACAAATGGGATACCTATATAAATAATTATAATTATTTAATAATAATCAGTTTTGTAAAATTTTATTCACCATTTTATTATATCATAGTTTAATATAATTAAATAAATAATTTTTTTACTTTAATTAATAATTAAAATACTAATACTAATATTTAAATATTACTTATAAATAATGTTAAAGATAACAAATATCGACAAAACAAAATTAACCATGGGGATCCCATAAATAGAAATTTCTTTTAGAAACTTTCTAGAAATTTCTCTATTATTTTATAAATTTCTCTTTTTTGCCAACACTAATGTGTGTGTGTATGTGTGTGTGTATGTGTGTGTATATATGTGTGTGTGTGTATGTGTGTGTATATGTGAGTGTGTATATGTGAGTGTGTATATGTGAGTGTGTATATGTGTGTGTATATGTGTGTGTATATGTGTGTGTATATGTGTGTGTATATGTGTGTGTATATGTGTGTGTATATGTGTGTGTATATGTGTGTGTATATGTGTGTGTATGTGTGTGTGTATATGTGTGTGTATATGTATGTATGTGTGTATATATGTGTGTATATATGTGTGTATATATGTGTGTGTATATATGTATGTGTATGTGTATGTGTGTATATATGTGTGTGTATATATGTATGTGTATGTGTATGTGTATGTGTATGTGTATGTGTATGTGTATGTGTATGTGTATGTGTATGTGTATGTGTATGTGTATGTGTATGTGTATGTGTATGTGTGTAATGGGTTTCTATTAAATTAGTCACCAATACCTTTGAGACTTATAGATTAGGGTCACCAGCGAATAGGCCAGACCTACATATAGACCAATGTCCACATTCAGTACTATCACAGCTACAAACGTTACGATCCATATGGACTGTAGTACACCAAAAAAAAAAATTATATTAATATTAACCAAACTATTTGGTAGAGCACATACAGGTGCTCAAACATAAGATATACTACTACTACTACTACTACTTACACCATCGAGTTTGTTGACCCGACAATAGCGCCAGACATCAAATATCTGGGCAAACAGTGTCTTAAGGGCTACGCATATGATTGACGCCAAAACACACTACAATTACAAAAAAATACAGACAATTATCACCAAAATACTTGATCCCCATAGTCATCAACAACAACACTGACAATACTAACATTGGGTAGTTTTTCAAGATATTGGCCAAAATATAACAATACAAACAGTATGCCGACACTGTTGACAATGCTGGCCATTTGTGTTTTGCCGCCTACGGTTTCCTGGACGGCACTTCGGGACAGTGAGGCAGCAGTGGGCAGACATGAGAAAAACGATGAGAAAACATTGGTCGTACCGATCGCTAGGAGTTCCTGATTGGAGCTAATTTCGTAGTTATGTTTAGTGGCAAATGTTTTACCAGTTGAATAGGTTATAGCGTAGGCAACAATAGCCAAGGGTATACACCGGAGCCATAGTTTAGGTATTAGCGACCAACGGGGCTGTAGGGGTGACGGTAGTCCTGTATCAATGGGTCCGACAGTATCGATGTTTAGCTGACACAGTGAGCTCAGTAGGGTTGAACCGACAACAATGGTTAGTTCAATGGGAAACGGTATGTTCATTTTGGTCCATTGTTTTAGTTTATCAATGAAATATAGTTTGAAAAACAATAGTATAGCTATACATATGAACGATACGCTCAGGGCTATGGTGTTGGCCTGATGGATGTGACCGAAAAAATCGGCATACGTTTTGAATAGCGATAGGGTACCGCTATGGCTGGTCAAATGTAGGCCAGACATGTAGCCGATTTGTGAGGTCAGGACGTAGAAGGATGAAGCGGTTATGAATGAACTGATCAGCTGTTCGGACATATAGACCGATATGAAACCCATACGAAATATGCCGAACAGGAGCTGATAGGCGCCGATCAGTAGGGCTATCATCGATGCCATCTCGATGTTCGAGTATAGCCGTTGACCACCAATACTAGCGGCGGTGGTGGTGGCGGTGCTGCCGATGATAGTCTCATTGATGGCCGCCGCCGCCGCCGTCATCACCAATGGATTATCGTTTGAGGCGTTCATTTCGTTGATAATGGATCCGGTCATCAGCGATACGATAGCAAACGTTCCTAATAAAAAAATAGGAGGTATTTTATATATACAGGTGCTTATGTATGTGGACTGGGGAGGTAGTGGTAGAGGACATACCTATTGACGCGTGACGCGATGAGCCCATAAACGAGTAGATGAGTGCCGGAAAAAATGATGAATACAGTCCGTAGATGGGACTGACCTGTGCCAGCAAACTGTAGCCCATACCTAACCATCATAACAACAACAATCAATCAATCAATCAATCAATCTAACTGTCCTCAAAAAAAACACACTTACTCTGCGGTACTTGAAATATGGCAATCGTTACGCCGGTAACAATATCGGCCACTAGATCCGATTTCCAATTATAATTGTATAGCCAATCGGTAATCGGTAACAGCGATCGCATCGTACGTTTCAGATGATGGGGCGTACACTGGGGACGTACGGCAGCCATCATCCGACTACGGGTAGGGCCGCCACCACCGCGGCCACCGCCACCGCTGCCCGCGGCATCCGAGCGACCACGTTTGCGGCCGCCGCGTATAACATCGTACGTCTCGTTAAATTGTGTCAGATTGTAGGCCAATCGGGAAAAGTTAAGACTCGGCTGAATCGAGTCCTGATAGTGCGGATCGTGATAGTCGTCGACATCGGTGTCCAAACCGCCGCCGCCGCCACCGTCGCCGACAATGTCCGTCAACTGGTGATCGCTGCCACCAATGCCGTGGCCGCCGACGCCGCCGTTTCGGCGGCCAATCTCTATGTCTATGTTATACGAAGAATCAAGCGATGAAGTACGCGATGACAGCTGTGCCGATGACAGACACTTTTCGTCCAATTTGTGGTCAATGTTTGCCGCCGACGACATTGTCTATGACTGTATGTATCGGAGGAAAGTCGATAATTATTTACCATAAGATTGAATATATATATAAAATTTAGTATTAATTTTAACTTTTAATTTTTAAAAAATATAAAAATTATTTTTCATTCACATATTATCATATATACTGTACTTTACAAACATAGTGTATGTATACACTAAACACTAGTTTTTAGTTTGAATGTAATACTAATAATAATAATAATAATAATAATAAATTTAATACTAATAATAATCGCTATGATTATGATTATAGTGATTGCAACAAATGTATGAAATTATTTTTCTTAAAATTTTGTTTTGTTTTTTTCTATTGTTATTATTGTTGTTATTATTAATAATTATGTATAGTATCTAATAATAATAAGTTTGTATATATATAGGTAATAAAGTTTTTCAATATTTTTGTTTTTGTTGCTAATAATAGCTTTGTATTGAAATTAAATTAAATTTAATTTTGTTTTGTCTGCTATTGAAATATATATATATGATATATTAAATTCATATATAGATACCAATAATAATAAACAAAAACAATTACTACTTTTCTAGAAAAATATGTTTTTCATAAATATTAGTTTATTTTTGAAAAATCTTGAATTATTAARAATTAAAAAAAATTAAAAAAATAATAATTACTTATTGATATAATTATATATTTTGAGTTAAAAAATTTTTTCTGATTTGATTAATGGATAAAAATTATTAACTATTTTTTCCAATAATACATAAAGTACTGTAATATGTAACCAATATATATATATATATATATATATATATATATATATTATTTATGTATTATTATTATTATTAAAAATCATTATTAAATGCAAATTACAATCAGATAAACTTTTTTTTTGTTGTATTTATTTTTTATTTTATAGATTTCTTCTATAACTAATTGTTTTTTCCTTAAATAAAATGTTTTTTTTTGATTTTATTTAATTATTTATCGCATTTCCTTTCTGTAAATATTTGCCAACAAATTAATTGCAAATAAAAGTAAAATATTATTATTATTATATATATATATATATAATAATATCAATCTATTCATCATCTATTTATGCAAAAAAATAAATATTGTTTACTTAAATATCTTATTATTATTATTAGAAAAATATCTATTAATTTTTTTTCAATACTAAATTGAGGTCATATTAAAGGAGTGGTCATTATATTAAATGATATTATTTTTTTTAATACAATATATTATAGTAAATATATCTTTAACTAAATAAATAAATCTATTATTAATATATTAAATTTAAATTAGACTAAAAAAACATTTTATTTAAATTTTATAAACAATTTTTTTTGTTGAAAAAAATTATATATAAAATACTAATCAAATTTCTTACCTTACATTGCATTCAAAAAATTTATTTTATTAATGATTTTTGTAGTTATTTTTTATATATTTTATTTGATAATCACTTCAATTATTTTGTAATTTTTTGCAACACTATTCACATATAAATTAAAAAAAATATTAATTTTCAATTAAAAATTTCAATTTTTTTTATGTATCATCAAATTTTGACACAATAATCACTAATTTATATAATTTAAATTGTTTTTGTTTACTATTGGTATTATGTTTGCCAAAACTCATATTATTATTATTATTATTATTAAATTTGTTAAAATATTATTATAATAATTTACAATTAATGGTTATTAAATTAATACACTATTTACACTATCAAATAGGTATTATATATTATTGATAAAATTAATGTCAATTGAATAGTATTTATAAATAGTAAGTATTGTACTCAACAACTAAACAAAATTATTTTATTTGCAATTTCTATAAATAAATACTATTACTACTAATAATAATAATATAAATGACAAACAAATATTGTAATTATATACACAAATATATATATATATTATTCAAATCTAATGGGATTTTACATTTTAATATTATTTTCCCCCAAAAAAAAAACTATAGCAAACTTTCATACTTATTAGTATATAATAAGTTATTATTAATCTATATATAYATATAGTATTATTGGTCTAAAATCAAGTTTTATATGTTATAATAAACTTATAAATAATAATAATAAAATTTTCCTACATTATTGAAATTTAGTATTTAACATTTGTAATATTAAATTGAATTTATTGTGATATTGAAATTAATAACAACTTTATAATATTTAGTTTATAAATGTCAATCCCAGTTCACAATTAATATATATTGTATGATATAAACTAATATTACTATATTTTATTAGCAATGATTAACCATTTAAAATAGGTAGTAGCACTGGTAGGTTAATAATAATAATAATAATAATAATAATCCCATATTGTCCTAAAAATATAGATATCTATGATTAGAGAATATTTTAGATATTTATTGTCAAGATTTCAATTTCATTTTCAACTTAATAATTAAATATATAATATATAAGTCTATTAATATACTATTAATAAAAATTTAAACCCTAATTATATTCAATTGATATATATATATATAGGTTAACAACAATTAAATATCATCTTAAATAGTTTTTTTTAATTGAATATCTAATTTTAACCAATTGTTTATTAATTAATAAATTTTTTTCGTTTGTTTGAAATAAAACTATTGTTTCAAAATAAATATTAATATAATAAATAATATTTTCAGAAAATAAAGTACAATCAAGTCTAGACAATAAATTAATTTAATATTTATATATAAAAAAAATAAATTCAAGATTTTACTTTCAAAAAGTTTTTTTTTGACTACTTTAATAATATATGCTATATATATAWATAAAAAATAAATTAATAATACATTGTATTTTATGTTTTGTTTCATAAACTATATAACAATACATATATTTAATAATAATAATAAAATCTAAAGTTTTTTTCTGTGTATAATATATCAAATATTATGTTTTCATATAAAAATAGAAACCAATTTTAATTATAACACTTTCATTCAAAAAATATATATTATATTTAATTAAATTTTTAAAATATTTTTTCTTATATAATATAATATTTAATTATACTATTTATTATAAGTAATTACTCTCTCATCTCATCATATAATGTATTAATTATATTAATTAAATTATATTACTTTAATTAATGCGATAATCAGTTAGCTTTTTTATGATATATAGATAATTTATTAATAWAAATACATCMCACACACCCCCCCCCCACACACACACACACTATAYACATACATACATATACACACATAYCATACCATACTGTCTATATGGATATCATCACATGGTTTAAACATTTAATTATTAATTAATACATATTAAATGATAGATCAATATTTAATATATATATATATATATATATATATATATATATATATATATATATATTAGATTGTAATAATTGCACCCACCTAAAAATCATAACTAACACATACACACAAACATACATATACACACATACATATATACACATACATATACACACATACATATACACACATACCATACCATACTGTCTATATGGATATCATCATATGGTTTAAACATTTAATTATTAATTACAGTAATACATACTAAATGATAGATCAATATTTAATATATATATATCACWTATATATATCATTTATATAATCTGTTATATCAAATAAGACAGTTATATCATATATTAGATTGTAATAATTGCACCCACCTAAAAATCATAACTAACACATACACACAAACATACATATACACACATACATATATACACATACATATACATACATATACACACATACATATACACACATACATATACACACATACACACACACATAAACACACACATACATACATATAAATACACATAAACACACACACACATACACACACATTACCATTATTATACATTATTTAAAACATTACATTACATTGACACTACTATTATATATTTTTATATATATATATATATATATATATATATATATATATATATATATATATATATATATATATATACTGTATAATTTACACACTGTATACTGTATATTATACATTGGATAATATGTATTTTATTAATAAGCATTTCAGTAAATGTATCTTTTTTTTAAAAAAAATGTAATATCTGTCAATAATATCTGTCTATAATTATAATATCATGTATTATATCAACTTGTTGTACACACTGACACACACACACATATATATATATAAATACATACATACAGTACATACTATACATATTGCAAAATATATTATCAATTTATTTAGTAATCCACACATTAATGTCTATTTTTTCTGTAAAGCTTTAACCGGTTTTAACTAGAATTATATACTAGTATATAGTATGTATGTATGTGTGTGTATATGTGTGTATGTATGTATATGTGTGTATGTGTGTGTATATATATATGTATATATGTTTGTGTGTGTGTATGTATGTGTGTGTGTATATATATGTATATGTGTGTGTGTATATATATATATATATATATGTATRTGTGTGTGTGTGTGTGTGTGTGTGTGTGTGTGTTTGTTTGTTTGTTAATGTATAAAAATATATTAATCATTCAAAAAAACCCTAAATGATAGATCAATTTATAGATAGATATAGATAAATATGATTATATATATATATATATATATATATATATATATAAACATAGACATAAAAATAAATTTAATGTTTTAACACTTATATATATATATATATATATATATTATATTTATATCTATTTTACCTAAATATTTGTTTTTTTCCTCAAAACATAATTAATTTATTATTTAAGTTTAGATAAATAATCATTATAATCGTACAATTAATGTTATCCAACAAAAATAAATAAATAAAAATAAATGTTGTTTTATAGTTGATTACATTTGGTATATACAATACAATACAATACAGTATATAATGTATACAATGTTACTATACATATGACAAATAAATAGGAGTTTTTATTATATATATATATATATATATATATATATATATATATATATATATATATATATATAATGTGTGTTATGTTTGATATTAATGGTTTGGAGTAAACTATTTAAAAAAAAACTTAATACTTAAATACATTATTAACTCATAACATATACAGTATATTATATATATATATATATATTATGTAGTAATCAATAGTTATTAATAAACTTCATCTCAATTTTTGTTTTTATTTTTTATATATATATTTTGATAAAAACAAAATCCATTAATAATTTTGTTGACAAAATCATAATGTTTTTCTGTCTGTATTTATGTTATTAACTTTTATTTTATGTTATTTAGTTTTGTCTACTTATTTAATACTAATACTAATAATAATAATAATCTCAATGAATATATATATATATACTGTATATATAGTTATATACAATATTATTGATTTTTAAAAATAAAATTGTATTTTATTTTATTAATGTATTTATTAAATTATTTTATTATAATTTGTATTATTTATTTATTTATTATAATAAATTAAGTACAATATTGTGTTTAAGCAATTTGTAATATTATGTATAACTTAATAAATACATTAATATTAAAGCAAATTTTTATATATTATAATTACAATTATAATATATTATATTAGTAATATTACTTAATATTTAAATGTCAATGATTTTTTGTTTTTTTTTGTTGAAAAGTAATTAATAATTATATAAATAAAAAATAAATATCATTGCATTGAAAGATTGGTTAATTAGTTATTATTATTTAATTGCAATTTTTATATATTTATAATATTGATATATCAGTATAAATGATATTATATTTTATGATAAAAATCAAGTATTTTTCCTAAATTTTTTTTAATGAATTTATAGATAGAAAAAATATTTAAAAAAATATTTATTATAAAACAAAACATATTATTGAAAACTATTTAAWATATAATAATTTAATTAAAAAAATTATTTTTTGAACAAAACTAATGAATAAATTAATTAATTTAAAATCTAATACTTAATAAAATAGTTTTATTTTATTTTTATTTTTAAAATATATCTACTTTATTAAATGCATAAAATTAATTGGAAATAATAATAATAATTTAATAATATTAAAAAATATAAATTATTCAATTAATATATTTAATTACATCATCACATCCTGTTTTTAATGAAAAATCAAATTATAATAATAATAATAATAAATATATTTTTATATACGTTTTTTTCACTTATTATTTATATACAGTTACTTTATAATCAATATTCATAATCATAATCATATTATTATAATTTTATTGAATTTATTTAACAAATTGTTTATGACATTCAATGTTAATCATAATAAATGTATTGAATTTATAACCAAAAAAAATAATAATAATAAAATAAAATAGTAGTAATAATTTATATATAAAAATTTGATATCTTAATAATAATTATCAAAACAAAACAAAATTGTGCAAAAAATTTGATATTATATTATACTTGATATTAATTTTACTAACACTTCAAACACAATAAAAAAATAATTTTATTAATAGTATTATTTTTTGTTAGTTATTTAATATTTTTTAACATTAAATTATTATATTTTTAATTAAAAAAAAACTATTATTATTATTATTATTATAGCCATAGTTACTAATAATATATAAAACAAAAAAAAAATTGTAATTCAAACTAAATATTTTTATTTTGTGTGTCGCAATATTAACTATTAAATTACTAGTTTTAATACTATATATATATATATATATATATATCTAATACACAAAAAATAATAATATAATAACTAATCTATAATATATATATATATACATATACATAGTAACTAAACTGATTAAATTTAAATTATAATTTATAATTAATTTGAGGATTATATTAATTATATTTAATAATAATAATAATATAAATTTTTGATATAATGTTACATATTTATATTGTAGATTACATAATAGATGTAATAATTTAAATATATATATATATATATATATATAATACTTATATGGTAATTCATATGAAATAAAGATTAACTTAGTCTAGAAAAATAAGCTAGCTTGATTTTGAATATTTAAGATTAATTTCATCTAGATAATTAAATCTAGTTATAATCTATAATACATATGAATATTATTTATTTATTTATGTATTTAATAATTCATTTTAATAATTTATTATACAGTAGATTATATATATATATATATATATATATATTAATAATTTATTTATATTATGCATAATGTTATAATATATATCATATATATATAGTGTATATTGTATATTGTATATTGAAAATGTCAACTAAATAATTAGCTTTTTTTAATAATTAATTTTTTTTTGTATATAAATAAATAAATAATTATTATAATAATAATCATTTATAGATCTAGTTTATTTATATTTGAGCATGACAAATTATTATTATTTTTAATAATTAATTATAATAGGATAACGACATTTTGTTTTTATTTATAAAAAAAATAAAATAAATAAATAAAACTACAAAAATAATAATAATAATAAAATATATTTAGCATAAAATAATTAATTATTATTATTATTATTAATTTAATTGACTAGCAACAACAACAAATGTTTTTATGTGTGTGTATTAACATTGAAAAATAATTTAATTATAAATAATTATCATTATCATAAATTTTTAAAAATAAATAAAAAATATATTTTTTAAAATTATTAACACTACTACTACTACTACTATTTTTAGATACTATATAATGTTTATTGATAACAATTATATATTGTATAAATATACTATTATTTTTTTTATTAATTAATATTAATTAAATTTATAAATATGCACAAATGTTTTACCTAAAAAAATAAATCACCATTTTAAAAAAAACATTTATAATTAACATTATTACATAATAATAATAATAATAATTTTAAATTGCAAATTTTTATTATAGCATCTAAGTGCAACTTTTATTTATTTTTTTAAATATTATATTAATAATAATTTTAAAAAATCTGTTTAATGCCTACTAATAATATATATATATATATATTAGTATATCAATATTATATATATATATATATATATATATATATATATATATATATATATATATATATATTGATGGTTAAGTACATGTTTAAAAATTAATATAATAATAATATTAATATTTAATGATTGTTTTTTAAGTACTATATATATATAATTTACATTATAAACAGGAAATTTTTATATAAATAATATATAAATCAATATACAGTACCCAAACATTTATATATATATATAATTTATATTATATACAGTATATATATACTACTGGTATATATATAATATACCGGTATATAAAATATATGTTGTATAACATTAGTGATTACAATAACAGCACCAAACTGTCTGTCTATTAAATATATATATATATATAAGTACATATTATTTATTATGCAATGTTTTTTATAAAATAAAATAATTAAAAATAAAATGAAACTAAAAATTGACAATTTTATTTTTTGTCAAAAATTTTTGTTGTAATAATTATTATTTTATGTCTATCTATCTATTATGTTATTTTCAATTACCGTATATACATTAGTATACACTGTATAAAACATAATGATTATTAAATATTAAATAAAATGTAATAAAATGTATTGTACAGTATATACGGTATATAWAWAATAAAATCAAATTTACAATAACAACAATAATAACATTATCGACAATAACTATAATATTATATTTTATATGAAATATTAATTTTTATTTTATGATAAACATGATAATATCGTATAATATAATTATATATAAATTTTTCAATTGATTTAATGTACTTATTATATGTTAAACCATTATTATTATTATTATTATTATTATTATTATTATTATTATTATTATTATTATTATTATGTTAACATATATTTTAACAAATATATACTATATATATATATAATATATATATATTTTATAAAACAATACCACAATTTATTTTAGTATTATATATATTATATAAAGTAATAATAATAATAATAATAATTTAATTAAATACTTACAAAATTGTTGAAAACGTTATGGCCTTGAAATTCGTGGCACTTTTGAAAAAATCAATTTTGTCTGTGATTTTAATTTTCAATAAAACCTATTAGTTTTCTATAAATAAAATTTTTATAAT